TAAGATTACTCTGAAACAACTAGCAAATTTACAGTTATGTTGTTATTACAGATGCTAAATTCGGAAGTTAATACATGACATTAGGAATAGAACAGAGCAGCATTATGAATTTTATTTGAAATATCAAAACATTTAAAGTACAGAAATTAACATAAATTAACATAAATAACATAAATTAAAATTAACAGAAATGTCTAGAGTGTAAAGATTCATGTAGTCAGGATATGAGACCTTCGACCATCCAATATATCTGAAAATATATACGTTATCCTGTATATTAGTGTCAACCTTATGACTGATGAGTAAGTGTTGCGTATTCATACTGCTCTTTCTGCTACTAAACTACTAAACTCAGTGGCGCGACAGCTCATAGAGGGCCAAAGCCTACTGTGCCCATCTCAGTTTTCTTGACCTTGGGCTCTGGGGTGCAGGAGCAGGTGTTCCAGTCAGGTGGTCAGATGAACGCGGAACCCCCAGTGTTTAGTTCCCAAGCATGCTTGGTACTCACAGCTCTTGGTACTGCTCTTTCTACTACGAAAATCAATTCAGCTTTTTTTTTCCAAGTTTATCTTTGAAATTAACGTGTTTGTATAAAGCAAAACAACGTGAATAAAGCACAAATAAATGCGCCAAGAATTTGCACTTTTAATTGCACTTGGTTTAAGTTGTTTAACTTTATTCGTACTCAGGAAAATAAACCATTTCTTTATTGCTATCTATTTTATTTCTTGTTTACACAGCACCTGCAATATTAATTTTTGCATGCAAGCATTTGTAAGACAACAAAAATATAAATCTTACTATAAGAATAAGAATTCTAAATCCAAAATAAAATAAAATGGATGAATCCATAAAGAGCGCCAATAAATAATTCTTCTAAAATTACCCTGGTGTATTTATGAAGATGGATTTTATAGACCAGACCGTTGTATAAAACTAGAATGTCTTTAAAGTTTTAAACTAAAATATAGTCATAAACCGTATGTACCAATCCTTAGAGCAGTTCCTATTTCAATAAAAGGTTGTAAAATGCTGAGCTTATAAATTTGTATATGAATCTCGAATTTTCCAGATGAAAGAGACCTTATCATTTTTCGATTCATACAAATACCTGGCAGTTATCCAATATTCTACAATCTATCCACCTCTTCAAATCCAAATAAATATGCAAATCAATTTATAAATCCACGATAGTGTCAGGACTTTTCACGGAAAATTCAATAATGGGAAACACTAAAAAAAGGAAAAAAAGAAACATCTATTTAATGTTATATTTAACAACGTTTATAAAATCAATTTTTGTGTTAGCTATTACAAATGCACATACATTGCATTTAGTGTGCATTTCATTTTCAAGTGGGTAAATGTTACAAAGCAGATTTTAAAAAAAGTGAATTTACATGGAGGAACCTATTTTGATATGTAAAGAAGTTTCAATTTAAAACTAGTTTGACAATCAGTTGTAAAAAATATGTATACGATTATTAATTATAACACATTTATTTTCTGCTCACCTATAACAAAGAAAATTTGTTTAAGAAAAAAAAAACTAGGAAAAAATGAACACCCTGAAAAACTAAAACATAATAATTTGTTGAAAATATTTTTAACCCTTCGATGCAGAATTTTGATCAAACCTTTTTAAATTTTTCTTCACTATTTTGCATTAATTCAGATCAAAATAAGTGAAAACTTATATACTTAGCATTTCAATACGGTTTCGTAATGAAATACAACATGACATACCGGTTGTCTATTTCTGAGTTACAGGTAAAATCTCCCAAACACGGCTCACTTCTAAATAAAAAATTTTAAATCTTTCACTTAATTGCAGCTATTAAGGTCGAAAAGAAATAACAATTCATCATTGAAATTTCTCTAATTTAAAAAATCAATTATTGATAACATTTTGAATATGAATAAAAAAATATTTTCTGAACAACATTTTTTTTTATTTTATATTTTAGTACAAATATATTTCAAAAATCTTATAGATTATTTTAGAAACCATTAGATTGTGTTTTCAGTATTAAAAATACCTATATATATATATATATATTTGTTTGTCAAAAAAAAATATTTAAATGAGGCACCGGTGTCCCATCTGTGTCAAAGGGCGTCTTTTAAAGTAAAGTAGAATTTCTGGTATGTTTATTAGGTCGAAATTAATGAGTTAATTGTTATATCTAGAGTACTTTCAGTAGACATAGAGGAAAGGTGAATAAAGTTGTATCTTTGGTTTTGCCACTTTATACACAAGTCCAAATTTCGTAAACAAAAAAAATCAGCTCTAAGTGCTGTCTTTTACTTTGGCTATGTAGTTAGTAGTCAAGTTTTTGTATTTAAATAATGTATTTCTGTATTGCAAGTCTTTAATTTTTAGTTAATATTTCAAATTATATGGGTTTTTTCATACTATTTAATACGTCTCTTAAGATTTGGCTGGTGTTTTCCAAAATAACTAGTAAAATTTTGCAGCAATTTAGATTTTATGATTGCAACGCCATCTCTAAAACAAAATACAACACCTGTAGTTAAAACGAAAGCGTTTTTTTTCTGGAAAATTTGAATTTGAAGTTAAAAAATTTAACTTATATTTCAGAATTTTGAGTGTCGAAGAAATTAGATTTAATATCGTAGAATGGAAATTTTAAATTACTATTTTATAGATTTTTCTATGTTTGAATGGATTAATATTTTCCTAGTGTACATCCCTTTTTATAATTCAGTAATTAATGTGTAAGAATTCTTTTTCTCTCTGACTCTTATATAGATTCAGATAATTTTTATTGGCCTTGTATGCATAAAATACACTAAAAGAAAATGAAGTAAGGTTTCATCCTGAACAGTTTTTCTTCGAAAGAATTTATTTTATAGAACATTCGAAATATAAAGCTTTCTTTCGAAAAAAAATAATTGAAATATTTTAAAGAAAATTTATTTGAAATTTCATGTATTAGTTCCTGATCGCGTTTCAACTCTAGTCCATGGAGACTACAAATATTTTCTGTTTATTATTTAGTATATACACTTCCGTAACTGGTTTTATCCCTGGGATTGGTTTATTTATTCTCGGATGCATTTTCTTGAAAAGTAAAGGGTGCCGAGAGAATTGGAAAAGAAAGTTACCCGATAGAAGTTATAAAGCACATCGAATTGTAAAGGAAAACTATCATCTCCTCATTCGAACTGATGGAGTAACTTGACAAAACTAGGAAATGATTCTGAAGTCTTAAATTACGTTTTTATTTTTTGAAAAGGAATAAAGATTTCTCCAAAAATTTCCCTTTGCAAATTTTTGATTAAATTTCGTATTTAAATAATATTAAAAGGAATGTTAAATGGAACATTATTATACTGTTTTATTCATTTGTTGATGATTTTTAGCAAAACAAAAGAAAGATCTTATGCTTTTATGCTACTAGATTTAAAATTATTACTGTGATTTTCAAAATTATAAGCTCTTTAATTTAAGCCATCAGCAACTTTAAAGTCAGACTGATTAATATTCTGATGTCTGAAACTAATTTCCAAAGCAGCTTATTTGTTTTTAAGGCTTTCTTTCTGGAATAAAAACAATTGTTTTCAACTATTATAAATACAAACACCATTTGCAATTTTAAACTAAAATCTTTCAATACTGGTGTCCCGCAGTGGACTGATCGTTAAGACACGGTTCCCATCAGATCACCAAAGTCAAGCATCACTGGCTGCGGTCAGTGTGCGGGTGGGTGACCCACTTGGATCAGTCTGCGTAGGGACCGAGGGTGTGCGGTATTGGTCCTCGTTAAACTGTGCTACCTTAAAGCGCTCGATTTTGCGTGCAGGTCGTCGGGCTACTGAAGCAGGTGTGCCATCCCCTCTGCAGAGGATCAAAATTGTGATGGCATGTCTTCGGATCATCCTCAGGGATGTTTCCCAGACCATCGCCAATAGCCCATTGTGCAGCTCTAGTGCGACGTAAATGAACAACAACTTTCAATACTGGTAGTTTTATAATGGTAAATGATGGTATTGGTGGCAATGATGGTAAATTTAATTTAAAACCCTCATTTCATGAACGATTCATATATTAACCCTCTAGACAATAGTTCCCAAGATAATAGCCTACTTTTCATACAGATTTGAACTAACCAAAAAAAGCTTTTCATACTTTTAAATAAATCAACATAGAGAATTTTTAATCTATCACTTTATATTATTTTTAAAGATAAGTTGGGACAATATACCTACCTTCATCATGGTGCACCCTGAAAATACTTAACCACTTCCTTGATTAACCCCGAGTTAACTCGGGTACGTATATATTGCAAGTATTTATTACTCGGGCATAGCAGAATTCGTCAATACGTTTTGTTTTATCACGTTTTTATTCGGCAGGAAGCAAAACAAAAAATAATAATAATCTGCTGTGATTGGAAGCTTGCCGATTTTTGTTTGGGAATTTTGCTATTTGTGGGTCTGCGACGTGTTTTGTACAATTGTATATACGATGGCTAATGAATTTACATGGAAAAAAGTGTAAAAAAATGCCGTTCCCGAGCAAAAGTGAAAATAATGAAGATGATTTTCAAGATAATGAATAAGATGTGAACATGTGAAGACTTATAGTTAACTTTTTTCATTTGCCCGAGATAATTTGGGAAAGTAAACTGATGGTAAATTAAATATTTTTTACACATAAAAAAATTAAAATTTAAACCTATAACGTTTGTTTTTTTTTTGTTTTAGCTCATTGTATTTATTAATGAAATAAAAAAAATATATAGATTTTTTGCATTTTTACGTCAAGTTTAAGGTGGTTACGTTAAGGTTACGGAGGTTACGTTAAGGTTAAGATGGATGCGGTTAAGGTGGCTAAAAAATGTACCACTTTAAACTTGCAGCCTCACTCTATACCTAATGTGTTTCAACGTTCTCTAGCCGGCTGCAATGCTGATATTTTCTCAATCATAGAAATGAACTTCTCGCATGATAACCTGTACTTTTTAAATTTTTAGGTTACAGTTTACATCACCTCCCTAAATCTAGAGAGCTTCCAAGAAGCAACATTTTTGGTGTCGAAGATAACCTCGGTGATCAAAACTATTTAGCAGAAGGTGGGCATGCAAGACAATTCCGAAATCGTGATGACATAAGTCTGGAGATCTGGGCAGATTTTTGAGATGCATGCTCTATTAATTTTACTGGGAAGAAAAACTGACCCTTTGCTCATAAAGCAATATATCCTGAGCTATATTTATAATGAAAAGAAACTTATCAATTTCTTGAGTCAGGGATTAGTAATTTTAATGTCTACTTTCAAAGATTTGGCTGTTGTTAATAGCTGAGCGGTACTAGCCTTTTTAAATTCCACACCCCTATAAATATTCACCAATTTTTAGAATCATATGCATGTTTACACTATATTTAGATAAGCAGATAAACAGTTTAAAAAATTTGATGTGATAATGCTTGTATGTGCAACAAAATTTTAAAATATGCAAAGGTAAAACTGGAAAGTAGAAGTGCTTTTCGGTTAGAGGAACTCAAAGGAAAAAGGAAGAAAATGGAGAAGAAAGCTGAGATCATGGAGAGATCAGCTGATGTCCAAGCTGCAGTTTTTAAATTACTCCCTTCCAAAAATACGCGAGAACTTTTAATAACTCTATGGAAAATATAAAGAAGATCAATTTTAGATGTAGAAATTTGTTTCTAACGTGTCAAAAAAAATTCACACTCACAAGAGAATACCTATTATTTATCAAGTCTAAAAGCTCTTTTAAGATAGTAACAATGAAAATATTTTTACAGAGTCGCACTGCTAAATACAAAAGAGAAAAAAAAATAGAGAGAGTGCAAAGAAATTATTACGTGTTCTTATTATGAGTTATATAGCATGAGTTCATGTTCAAGTACTGTTTGTTAGGGGGAGCCTAGCTCTACGTGAGCCTCCGAGTTGAATACTGAAGTGCTAAATACTTGCTTAAACTTCGTTTCCGGCTGTTTCATTGTTTTTCATTTTTCTTTACTCTCGCCATTGAAAATTCAAAAAAAGAATTGTTCAAGTACTTTATTTCGAAAGTTATTCTTTAAAATTAAAACCTCTGAATTGTTTTAGTTTGTTTAATGAAACTTAGAATTGCCTTATTTTCTTATTTTTTGCAATCATAATAAAGATTTACATTTACGTTTCTTATTCATAAATTTAACGTGACAAAAAAGAAAAGAAAATCTCTCAAATTTCGCAAAAATTACTTAATGCACTAGATATAAGTAATAATGCGATTTTATTTATTTCGAAAAAAATTTCTCTAAACTGTTTTTTTCTAATCATTAATATTACTTGCACTATACATTTCAATGGAATCACGCTGAAGGAAATTAAAGAAAAATGTCTCATTCTTGGCCAGATAAGTTTAAATACTTAAGTAAATCGACCAGTTGTAAAACTCGTTAGTTGCTGCTAAAAAAAATTTTAAGTAAGAAATAAAAACTATGTCTTTAATTAATGTTTTTTTAGCCAAGTATTTAAATTTTACACCTCATTGTAAGACTTCACACAAATTTCAAACAGTTAGCAGAGAAAAAACTGCACAAGTAACTTCTACTTCCAAGTGGAAAAACCGTCTAGATGACTCTTGAGAAGTTTGGGGATTGAACAACTCACTTAAACGGAAAAGAGAAATAATTGGAGTATCTGTGCCTTAGGGTAAGAAATAAGACTTACTGAAATTTCCGTTACCTTTGTTTTCTATAATTAACTTATTTAGTAAAATTATTTAAGATAAGGGTTTCTGTTAATTTTAATTGCATGTATTAAATTCAGATTACATCTATCTTCATTAGGAATAATTTCTTGAAACAGAAAAAAAACCGAAGCATGTTTGCTTAAAAAATGATTTGCTTCTCAAATATCTATTCGCCTAATTAATTAGTAGATATATTTAAATCACGGTAATTAGACCCCGCCTCAAGTAAAAAAATAGGAAATTTAATTTAGCAAATAAAATATTGTGTATTTCTTTATTTATCTACTAGTAGATTTAAAAACTAAAAAGAAAATGTTATTGCTATTTCGAAATTATTTTTCTTAATTGGTTAGAGTTCTGTTTCAGTGGTTTTATATTTTTGTTTTACAAATATTTGTCTTCAAAATTATATTCCATACAGTAAAATGAAAGTATACTTATAAAATAAACATTAAGAATCAGCATTGCCTCAATACATATTACTAAAGCTTCACAAAATCTTTTCTAGTTACGGCTTAATTAAAATTAACCGAGTGTCTCATTTGAAAGTTTATTAATCACCTCTTTAAATATTGACATCGTTGAGTTTTAAGAAGTAATTACTTGCTCATTTTCTTAAAAATAAATTTAGGTAGATTTAAATGAATATTTTAAATTAGTCTTGCGTCCTTATAAGGATAAATTTAATGATAACATACTGAACTAATATTTTATTATGTTTCTCTCTATATATGGATCTCTTTCTCCTTGTATATATATATAGTATTGAATTTGTTTTTAGATATATTGATGACTTAATTATCTTTAATTTCCAAGATTTTACTAATTTATTGAGTGATATATACGCTGAGGAATTAATCTTACTTCATAATCATAATGATAATATTAATTTAAATTTTTTGGATTTGGGTATTATAAAAGTTGAAAATATCTGTTTTGTTGATTTATACGATAAAAGAAATGATTTTAATTTTAATATTAATAAACTAATTACTTGGAATTCCAATGTTTCTAGGAGCATCTATTTAAATACCACTTTTAATGAAATGAACAGAATTAAAAGAATAAGAAGTAATTTTTATTTATCCAAAAAACAAATCGATAAACTCTTTCAAAATTTGATAAATAGCAATGGATATCCAACTAAAGTAATAAAATTTTATATAAAATCATTGAATTAATCGTATATTTTTGTGGATATATTTACTAAACATTTTTTTTGTTAATTTTATAATTTTCCCATGTGCAAATCCATTTCGGTTAAATCCATTGCCAAAATTATTTACTAAATAATTTCTTTGTTAATTTGTATAATTTTTCCATGCGCAAATCCATTTCGGGCAAATCCATGGTTAAAATTATTTACTAAAAATTCCTTTACTAAATAATATCCTTTGTTAATCTATACAATTTTTCCATGTGCAAATCCATTTCGGGCAAATCCGTGGGTAAAATTGTTTGCTAAAGATTTCTTTATTAATTTATGCAATTTTTACATGTTTCAAATCCATTTCGGGCAAATCCGTGGCTGAAATTATCTACTAATTTTTTTTTCTTTGTTAATTTTTCCATGTGCAAATCCATTTCGGGCAAATCCGTGTTAAAATTATCTATTAATTTTTTTTTTCTTTGATAACTTTTATAATTTTTCCATGTGCTATTCCGTGCAAATCCGCAGCTAAAATTATTTGCAAAACAGGCAATTTATGTTTCTCTTTTCTATTTTATATTTTTTCTTAAATAAACATCTATTTTCTAAAACTTTTTACGGTCAATTTTTAAAATTATCAAGTATAATATTACCTTGCGCACATCCATTTCGGGCCCATCCTTGGTAACTAACAAATCATTGCACAGATTAACAAATCACTTCAGCAGTGCAGTAAGAACGACACTTTAAAATCCTCTTGTTACACTCAATTTGAGCTTTTGTTTTCATATTTTGCAATCTGGCAATCTTTCTGCGAAAACATTTTTAAATCATTCTTGAAAAATTGCCGTCCATGTAAGTTGATCTGATTTCGTTAATCGCTTTATAGTCCATTTTTATATTGTTTTTTTCTTTTTATTTTATTTTATTTTCTGTTTTTACATGTTATTTTTACTTATTTTTCCTTTTTGTGTTCTATTTTATTTGTTGTAATTTTTATGAAATATTTTTTGAGTGCTCCTCACACTATTGTATTAATATATTTTGCTTTGGCTTTATTGATACCATATCAGAAAGCCCTCTGTTTTGCGAACTGCACTCTGTGTTGAACTCTGTTTCGTGTGGGCTGAAGAAAAGATTATATCTTTTTTTCCGGTTTTTTAAATAAAATTTCATCTTTTTTTTTTTTTAAACTGTTGTTTGTTATCTTTTCACTTATTATTTCTCCCCANATATATATATATATATATATATATATATATATATATATATATATAAAGTTTAAATATTGAGAAAACATGGAAAATAATAAAGATTAATGAAGAGAGAAGAAGAAAAATTATTAAAATAAAACTATTAAAGAATTTTTTTTTAAATAATTGAATATAAGTGTAAAAACCTATAAATAAACATTGACCTGTCCTTATAAAAGTGTCTGGCATTTTAATTTACCAAACATTACATCCAAATACAGATAATAAGGAGGCAGAGTATCAATTCCACAACGTGGAAGAATTTTATCATACGATGCTCAAAGCCATAAAATGATTTCTAAAAAGTTAAAGCAAGTAAAGAAATTAATCATAAAATGATTTAAAATTATCCTACGGTAAGCAAAACTGCGTATCAAAAGCTAGTACTCGAATAGACAGTTTTAATCTGTTTATAGTAAGGTGATAAGGTTATAGTTTAGTAGGAAGGAAAATGGAGAAAAACAGTTTTATTGAAAACAACTTTAAGCCGTCAAATAGTCTGCAATAAAATAGGAATTTTTCAAAGCGTGTGGGTAACGATTAAAGAGAGAAAAAATATCTATTTATCCTAAAACACTTTTTTTTTATAAAAATATTTTTCTTAATTTATAGTCATGTAGTCATTTATTTAGCCTGTATTCTTAAATGTGGCAATTTTAGACTATTTACTTTCCTAACTGACAGTCAAAATAAGCAGTATATCTAAATTATTGGTACTCAAACTTTAGTTTGTATTCACAATTTAAATTTATCATCATACCGAGAGAACCTGTGTACAACTATAGTTCATAAGCAGAACTCTGTTCTAAAGCAGAGAATTAAATTTTAAATATAATAATAAATTCCCATGAATGATTAACTACTAAATTAAGAAAACCATTGAGTCTATCATTACTCGACTTTTGCTTTCTCCCCAGTGTCATTTTGAGATCATATTTTAACTACAGTTAGTAATAATCAAGGTATTATTAAATCCAATATGGGGACTATTTCTAAAGCCTTTGGGGGAAATAGGAGATACGGTTTTGATGCATTGATCCTTTATGATTGATATATATTCTCTAAGTAGCCATTATTGATATTTTTCCACAACAGGAACTATTTTCAGAAAAAAAGACTAAGTTGGTTGATAGCGTGTCGTAACTACCAATAAAAATAATAAATACCAATTCACTAGTGTATAAGACATGTTAACTTGATTCTTTCTTGAGAAACCTTTTGTTAGATAAAAGTTGACTTGGTCAAAAGCATACTCTCCCCATATTGGTGACTTCCGGATGCGATATGAACTTGCCAAAATTGATGGATGGTCCACATTGAACAGCTGATACCAATTCACTAGTACATGTTAACCTATTACCATCTTGAGGTACCTTCAGATAGATGAAGGCTGACATGGTCGAAAGCATACAGATATAAGAAGGTATTTAATTCATCAATCTATGCGCCGATATTTTCACTACAGGTTTGCCATGAAATCGGCAAATTATTCACACATGGAAGATAAAACCCTGGTGGATGAGAGTCAATTATTTCTTGAGAAGTCAGTTTAACGTGATTTTTGGAAATAAATAGTTTTTCCATTAAGGAGCTATACAAATTTAGAAATAAGTGGTAGTAAGTCAGACAATCAGGGGTCCAAGTTTATGATTTTTTGCAAGTTAAGAACAAAACCATTATCCCAATGGAGAGAGTCTTTTTGGTATCTGGCTTGCACTTAGATGCAATTCCCCAGCGTGAACACATGTCAATAATATCTCCAACTCTTGAAATGACGTTGCACAGCCTCCTTTTGTTTTTTTATTAATAATATAACAGTTATTAATATTATAGCAGTAATTAACAAAAATAATCAATTGACAAGCAATAAGAATTAATAAGAATGATATCTAAAAATTATAGGCCCGTTTACAGGGCGAACCCATTCATACATCCATTCATTCATCCACAGATCTTAATTTTGACCAGAACCAGAGAATGATCAATCTCCTATCCAGTACCCCAGAGGTATAATTTGTTGTGGGATCATGGAGGACTTTGTGATCCGACTGGTTTAACGTGCACCAGTCACCATTTCTTCACTTCTTCGCTCCGGCAGGATTCGAACTAGAGTTCTCACGAGCGAGAGTCCAGTGCCTTACCAGGCAATCCCGGCCCGAAAATTTGGTTAAAATGAATAAATAATTACTTTTTGTTTCACACACTGCCATTTATGTGTTTTGGATTGGTTATTCTTGTATAACTTATTGTAAAGTATCCATTCAGATGTTTTCTTCATTGGTTCAATAAAAAAATAATATTTAATGGACTTTGTTGTAATCATCATACACACCAACTACTTCATGAAAAAAACGTAA